AACCTCTTAACTATCCTGGGAACCAGCCACAGGGGCCACCACTGACTAGCTTGGTCATTTCCCGCCCAACTATGCTGCCTAGAGTCACAACACCTGCCCAGTCCATGTCTGCACATGCTGTAGCAGCATGTCAGCATTTCCATCTGACAGATGTACACCATCATCCCTTCTCACTGATTGTAAGGGATGTTCTTATGCTGTATCACTGAACACTCTTTCTCCAGGAATATCTTGGTGACCCCCTTATTTACTTTCTTTCTAGCGTTGTCTACATGGGTTGGGTCTGCTCCCAATCCTGGCCAGCCTATCAGTGAGTGCAGAAGAGGCTTGAGCTGATCCCATTGCATGCCTCTTCTGAATGCAAACAGCTTCAGCCCTGAAGCCCACTGAGATCTAGCTGCCATCCTGGGTGACCTCTTGTGGACCCAGTTCACTACAGGGTGCTCACAAATCTAAATATGCACACTCTGGGTAGCTGCTGATACAAACACAAACATTGAGTTAATTACATTTTGCCGTTCCCTGCCGTCTTTTCATTGGTGTGGATGTATGTCCTGTAAAGTTTGATTTCCAGCGCCCTATTGCCTGCACCTGCCACGGGCCAAAACCTTTTGCAGCTGCTAATGTTGCCACCCTGATCCTGGAAGAATGAGTACCAAATTTACCTGCAGTACCGCAAATCTTTTCTCAGTACTGCGCTTACTTGATGCCTTGTCAGGAAGCTGACATCACCATGTATAAATAGCGAGCCTAGATGCAGGCCCTGAATTTTTAGTGACGCTTTTATCGCCTTTACAGGGCACAAACGCTTCTCTGCACATTTCTTCAATGCCACATTAGCCCCTTTCCCCTTCTGGCCTGTTAGGGAGAACCTTAAACACAGAAACACCAGTCCTTGCAGATAGCTGTATGTCAGTTACATTTAATGCACGCTGGGACCTGTCTGCAGCTGTTTTAGGCACCAGTTCACCCACTCTCAAAGTGCCAGAGAAGGCAACAACAAATGCCACCTTAAATAACATGGTCTCCCTCTCAGCTGCAGCCCCAGACAGAGCCTTTGACAGCTCTGTCAGGGTTTCCAGTGTTATGAGTAACCTGTCCTCCCTCTGGTGCACTAGCCAGCCAGAGATAATGGAGGGAGCCCACCTGTGGTGGGTCACAGGCACCACATATTGTGCCATCTGGTGTGTGGGTATGGGTCACCCACAGTGCAGCCCTTCTGGTACCCTAAATTCCATGGACTCTGAAAGGCTTATAGGCCCTCAGAGTCCAGAGGACAACCGAGTCTTCGACTAGCCTCGTAGCTGTCATGAGCCAAGGTCCCAGAATTGTTGGAGCATTGCCCGCGGATCCCTACTGGCCAGTGGCAAGTTTCCGAAATCTGTCGTCCTGAAATTGACAGAGGATTGGCAACACCATTATTCATTTCCAGAACATGCACTGCATGAAAAAGGATGTTAAACTGCAGGCAGTGTAAAATGAAGGCTCTCACCAGCCTTGTTACCCAAGCAGTCTTTGCCAACAGTCTATTTATAATGTGGACCCTGACCACACCAGAAATAGGACTTTCTTGTTCTGAATGTTTTCTCCCCTATTGACTGCCACCAGTGTAGGAAAAATCTCAAGGAAAGTGATGTCCCTTGTAATACCCTGAGCCATCTGGCTTTCTGGCCCCCTTTGTGCACACCACTCACCTTGAAAGTAAAGTAAACCCCAAAACCGATACCTCCCAAGGTGGATTATACCTACAGTTCAGTCCTGAGCAACCAGCCCCAATGCCATATTGAAACCTCCATTTAACTCATCCAGGAATCTTTCCCACACTTCTAAGTCTTCCTTCATTTCCCTTGTCATTCTGATAAAGTGGTGGGGTTTTCATGCTTCAGAGAAAGCAGATGCTAGATGAGCACAAAATGCCCGATGGGGAGGATCACCCTCAGGCAAGTTTAGGTGCCCTATGACCACCTATAGTTCCCTCAGAATAATTTTCTTTGTCCCTTTCAGAGCCCATATCCGTGCCCTGACCAATTCCAACTTCTCTGTAGATAACCTAGAAACCAATGAACTGAGTCCAGTTCACAGTGCCCAGGTATGTTAAACTTTGGGGAGGGCTTTCTGTTTTTTCTGTGGTGAGGGGGCCCCTGAAGCATTCGACTACATTCTGAAATGCCTGAAGCACATACTGACCTGTCCCTAATATTCCTGCACTTGAGAAGATGTTGAGATTGTGCATGAGACTGGCCTGTTTCACACAGTGCCTATCACCCACTCCAGAATAGAGCTCCATCATTTGAAAGTGGCACGTAACACTGAGTGCCCCATGGGTGTGGCTTTATCAAAATAGTAGTGGCCTTCAAACTGAAATCAAAACAAGTTGAAGTCCCTTGGATGCGTTGGAAGCAATCAGAATGCAGACTTGATGCCACATTTTGGCAACATTGCCCCAGAGCAACACTCCGTAACCATGCTACTGCAGCATCAAATGACAAGTATCTGACTGAACACAGGTAGGGATCAATATAATCATTTTACCAATGAGCACTGGGGGTAGGACAGGTGATGGATAAGCCTGTATTCCCCCTTCTCCTTCTTCAGTACCACACTCAGGGAAGATGAGCAGTTCTGGCACTGGACTATATGGGAAGGGACCTGCTACTCTCACTGCTGCCACCTCCAAGGTGATCTCTGCCCTATCTATATGCTCAAAGCCTTTAGTGGACTTCAAGTTGTCTATCCAAGAGTGGCACCTCACTCTCTCATATGGGATTTAATAATCAGCCAAAAATCCGTTCCATAAATAAGCTACGTCTTTTTTTCCCCCAGGATAGTTCAATAACAATAACAAATTCCATAGCCCTGTATCTTAATTGAGAAGGAGCCTGTTCCATTATTACTACCTCTCCCTGTAGTAACTCCTGAAGTACTGGGACCTGGAAAACCCCTTTTCCTATAACCTTGTTGGAACCGCCCTTTACCCCCGAAACAGGAGAGTGTGCTGTGCCTATAGCAGTGTTTGTACTTGCCTGGGGTATGAAAACATTTCCCATCATTAATGCAAAGTACACATTGGCTTTTATACCCATATTTTGAAAATGAGGTTTTGGCGCTGACAACTCACTGTCTGTGAATGCCAGCTAGGCAGGGCGATAAGGAATTATACCTCCAGCCAAAAGTGCCTGGTCTGTTTTACCCCAGGGTAAATCAGGCTCCTCTGCCGCCCTCTGTCTAAATTCTCTGTCATACCTTAATCATGCTACCCCACCACATGTAGCATAAGCCATCGCTATTAACTCCTCAGACTTGAAGAAGGAGAGACACCTCTTGGGGCTCCCGACACAAATTATACTCACATAGATGTGGAAGGCTGCCAACTAGTTCAAGAGTTTGTCACCTTAGGTCTGCAGAGTTTGTCCTCACCTTTTTTTTTATATGTTATTTGCTCCCTCCTCTGTCTGCTCTTCCCTGAACAGCAAGGTAAATAAATTCACAAATTCCCTTTCCAACCTTTTCTTTAAGCCCGTTAGACAGATGATTCCCGAGTAGGTGATTGGATCCCACATAACCTGTAGGACTTTAGCTGCTGTGTCACCTGCCTATGTTTCATTAGGAATAATGCTACCTGATGCAGGGGGGAGCTCCCTAGTTGCTCCGTTTTCCTTTGTGGGATATTATGCTCCCCTCCCCCAAACTTGTGAGTGTCACCTCCTCCTCTGAGAGTGGCCCACACTTGTCAGGCAAGCTGCCCAACCTATGGGCCACTAATGCCAGTGATTTTACCAGGTCACCCCATATCCCTTGGAGTGGGTGTCCAAGGGAGGAGGGACCTGGGCTATCACCCTTGCCCCGAGTTCCAAGATTCACAGTCCTCTCCATCAGTATCTATGAGCCTCTGGGGACCCACCACCACATCCTAAGGATGCCTGTTGGACTTTTGGCAGGTTATGGGAGTGAGGCACTGGCTCACTCACCCACTCTGCGTCATCCTTGTCCATTTCAGTGAGGCTTGGACCCTCACTTTCTGCAAGGCAGAGCCTGAATCTGTGACCTAGACCTCCTGTATGAGGGTTCAGGACCTCATTTGGGAGGAATGCATTCCTCTGGCTCACCACCATCTGCGAAGTGAACTGTCCCTGCTGAGGTCCTGACTCCTGCCCAGCTGCTCTCCTCCTCTTGTGACTCTTCTGTCATGTCATTGATCCTCACTTGATCTCCCTTCCTGTGAAGACTGAGCACATCCTTCCTCCATGGGAGCTGCATTCCCAAGCCCACTATTCCCCAGCAAAGTTTCTGGAACAGTTGGCACCTGTGATGGGCTAAATCCTGGGAGCTGGGGAATGCTGGCCAGTCAGCACCTATCTCCCCCAGCTGGCCAATGGGTGCCAGAAACTCCCAGGGGGAGGAAATACCTATTGTCCCTTGACAAGTGTCTCCCTAGGACCGCCCCTTTCACAGCTGGCCCCATCAAGTTCCCGCACCCGTTGATACAGGTGGATGGCATTTTGTAGAGCATGGCTTGGAGACAATGGCTATGCAAAGGAAGGAAAATAATTATTTATCATGTTACAAGGGATATGAATCAGGGGGAACGGGATGAAACTAAGAGGGCGAAAATTTAGGCTGAATATCAGGCAAAACTTTCAGACAGTGACATTTATGGTACCGTATATAAAGGCTTGATCTTTTGCTGTTACCTTCAGTGAGAGCTGGAGAAAGTCCCAAGACTGTAGAATATTCTCTGAAGGGAAGCAGCAGAAAATCCCATCATTAGAGATGTGTAAATCTAGATTAAGAATTCACTAGAATATATAATACATCAACAATCCTGCTTTGGCTGGGGAAAGGACTAGATGGCCTAGTTAATCTTTTTCCAATATCTTTAATTCTGTGTGTGTGTGAATTGGTCATACTTTGTTTTATTTATTTTTTTACATGTTTTTGTGATGTGTTCTGGAAGTGTTCAGGTGCTGGATTTTAATGAATGTTTCTTTGTTTTTCAGCAGTATCTCTCATTAACCTCTGCAGTCCCTGAATTCCTAAAGCCTGCCCCCACCACTGAGCAGCACACTACACACTCTACAACTACTACTACCACTCTGACCACAAATACTCTATCTGCAGCAAAGCCTGGGCCAACTTTGGTAAAGGTAGGTTATAATGAAGGCATTTGATGTCTTTGCTTTAAATCTGCTCTCTCAAATCCTGTATATAATGAAATTGAATATATCATAGTGTTATAGTGCTTTTATCTATGTATATAAAATATCCTGCAGTGTTCAGTTGAATATACAGTGAAGTCAGCTGAAAACTGGCATACTGTGTCAGATTTGCCATTCATAATTTGCAGGCTCTGCAAAATGCTTACGAGCCATCCATATATTGTAGTTGTAGATAGACCCGGCAAAATTCTACACACTGAATCATGTAGTAGGATTCATACTATGTTTGAAGTACAAAAAAAAATGCAAAAATGAGACAAAGACTGCAAGTACTTGCCAAATTGCCTTGATACTTTCTATTTTTTATTGGTGAAATTCATCCCTCCCAACACAGAGTCCAGCTAATCTGGCTTTGCGTGGGGGACTAAATGGGAACAAGGAAATTTCATTCACACCCCAACCCACAAACAGGCCATAGGGCTGCAGTGCATTCTCTCCCCAGCTATTTTCGAAGCCTGTGGACTAGATTAGTAGAAATTGTGCCGCCATGCTGCCTTGTGGTGGTTTTAGACCACCGGATCCTCATAAGTGAGAATCTTATAGGCCCGTTCATAGTAGCCCCTTCTGCACTAATGTATTTGGAGCTAGCATGGAACTTTTGCACAAATTTAGGTGTCCCTGTGTGTAAAGGTCTACAGTTCTCCCCTCTTGGAGCCTCTGAAGGTGTTGTGGAAGGCATTATAGACACCCTACACATCAGGATGAACTTCACTGTCATATACTTTTATAAGGGATGTGCTGTGTTGTTGTATTATACTGGTATACATTTGGAGGATATTCACTGAAATTCATTCACCAACTCACTTATAATGCAAAACCTTAACAACTTCAAACACCCCAAAATGCATGATTGTCAGGAATCAGGGCCAGTAGCAGAGCCAGTCTCCGGGCAACCTAGCTGAGTGCAGCCAGCCTGTAGTAGGGTGCCTGCTTGGCTACACTGCCTGATTGGTTGGAAGAGTCCACAGACTGGCTCTTAAGCCGAGTAGCAACAGCAGTTCAGCAGCCACTCAAAGCATTTTCCCATGGCTGCAATAGGTCCAGTGCCTACTTGTTTCCAGCCAAGTTCCCACTCTTGTCTCCAGACTTGCCTCACTCCAGGTAACCTGGTCCTGACGTTTGGCTCCAGTTACTGACTTTGGTTTTGAACCTTTTCTCTGGTGTATGGCCTCTGACACTGGTTCTGACCCTTGGTTCCGATTCCTGACTACCGACTCCTGCTCTAACCACTAGGCCCAACTCCTGGATCTGTTCTAACCATTGGGGACGTCCGCCCACATCTGGTCACTGATCATTAGTGCACATATGTCAACACAGAATTTCCCCTTTCAGAATTTTTGTGCTGTATATCTGTCTCCAGTTTTTCACTGGAAATAGCTTCCAAGAGTTCACTTAAAGAGAATGCCCTGTCCAAAAGGAAGTTTTTTATTGGGGGCACAAGGACCCTCCAGTGAGGGTATAGCTGAAACAATCTGTATGTAAACCCTACTTTTGGGATTCATAGACTTGCATGCGTTCATGTTCTCATTTGTTTCTTAGTTAGTGTTCAGGCTTGAAATACAGAAAATAAACCTATTTTAAGAAGTATGAATCCAATTGCAAATAATTAAAGATGTTCAGAAATCCATCTCCTAAATTTAAATGAAAGGGGAACAGTTATTAATATTCCCAAGTCATGTGCTCTTTGGAGCAGTCCTCCAAACCAGGCACTGATAATTACTGATTCTTTTGAACACTTTGTATACTGCACACTCCCAATTGCATCTCAACCCTGCTTGGAGACTTGGAATTTGTTTTCGTTCTCTCCTCAGAGATGAGCTTCCTTGAGGTAAAAAGAAAAATTATATCCCAGGATATCTGTGGATATGTTTTATTCCAGAATCACATTTTGCATACTGTTATGAGGAAGAAATATCTGCAAATACCCGCCTCAGCCAGGTTTGGTGTGCTGCCAACTGGATCAGTAATCTCCAAAGGAATGAAAATTAGGGCATCCCTTGCAAGCTGAGATAAAGTCATTTTATGAGGCATTTCCGTAGGATAATTGAGAAACAGCATTTCAATCAGTGGTGACAACTGTAAGTTTAGTTTGTAGTTATACTAACTAAGCACCTTAGAAACACAGTTTTTATATATATATATTAGGTCTGTCAATTGATCATAAGACTGGCCATACTGGGTCAGACCAAAAGTCCATCTAGCCCAGTATCCTGTCTACCGACAGTGGCCAATGCCAGGTGCCCCAGAGGGAGTGAACCCAACAGGCAATGATCAAGTGATCTCTCTCCTGCCATCCATCTCCACCCTTCGACAAACAGAGGCTAGGGACACCCTTCCTTACCCATCCTGGCTAATATCCATTAACGGACTTAACCTCCATGAATTTATCCAGTTCTCTTTTAAATGCTGTTATAGTCCTAGCCTTCACAACCTCCTCAGGCAAGGAGTTCCACAAGTTGACTGTGCATTGTGTGGACGTGTTCAGAGAACCACTGGGAGAATCACAGTTAACTCATGCGATTAACTCAAAAAAATTAATCGCAATTAAAAAAATTAATCGCAGTTTTAATCGTACTGTTAAACAATAGAATACCAATTGACATGTATTAAATATTTTGGATGTTTATCTACATTTTCATATATATTGTAGTCTGTGTTGTAATTGAAATCAAAGTGTATATTATTTTATTACATTATTTTCACTAAAAATGATAAAAGAAATAGTATTTTTCAATTCACCTCATTCAAGTACTGTAGTGCAATCTCTGTTGTGAAAGTGCAACTTACAAATGTAGATTTTTTTTAAATTACATAACTGCACTTAAAAACAAAACAATGTAAAACTTCAGAGCCTACATGTCCACTCAGTTCTACTTCTTGTTCAGCCAGTCGCTAAGACAAACAAGTTTGTTTACATGTACAAGAGATAATGCTGCCCTCCTTATTTACAATGGCACCAGAAAGTGAGAACAGGCATTTGCATGGCACTTTTGTAGCTGGCATTGCTACAGGTATTTACGTGCCAGATATGCTAAACATTCGTATGCCCCTTCATGCTTAGGCCACCATTCCAGAGGACATGCTTCCATGCTGATGATGCTCGTTAAAAAAATAATGCGTTAATTAAATTTCTGACTGAACTCCTTGGGAGAGAATTGTATGTCCCCTGCTGTTTTACCCACATTCTGCCATATATTTCATGTTATAGCAGTCTCAGATGATGACCTAGTACATGTTGTTCATTTTAAGAACACTTTCACTGCAGATTTCACAAAACACAAAGAAGGTACCAATGTGAAATTTCTAAAGATAGCTACAGCACATGACCCAAGGTTTAAGAATCTGAAGGTGTGGAGCATGCTTTCTGAAGTCTTAAAAGAGCAACGCTCCAATGCGGAAACTACAGAACCCAAACCACCAAAAAAGAAAATCAGCCTTCTGCTGGTGGCATCTGACTCAGAAAATTAAAATGACCATGCGTCGGTCTACACTGCTTTGGATTGTTATCAAGCAGAACCCGTCATCAGCATGGACGAATGTCCCCTGGAATGGTGGTTGAAGCATGAAGGGACATACGAATCTTTAGCGCATCTGGCACATAAATATCTTGCGACGCCGTTTACAACAGTGCCATGCAAATGCCTGTTCTCACTTTCAGGTGACATTGTAAACAAGAAGCGAGCAGCGTTGTCTCCTGCAAATGTAAACAAACTTGTTTGTCTGAGCGATTGGCTGAACAAGAAGTAGGACTGAGTGGATTTGCAGGCTCTACAATTGTTTTATTTTTGAATGCAGTTTTTTGTACATAATTTTACATTTACTATGCAGAAGAAAAATTCTGCTTTTAACCATCTTAATTTAAATGAAACAAGCACAGAAAATTTCTTTACCTTAGCAAATATTTTTTTTAATTTTCCCTTTATTTTTTTAGAAGTTTACATTTAACACAGTACTGTGCTGTACTGTGCAGTACTGTAGTATGCTGTAGAGTATTTGGGGTTATTTTTGGTCTCTGCTGCCTGATTGAATGCTTCCGGTTCCAAATGAGGTGTGTGGTTAACTGGTCAGTTCGTAACGAGGTTCTACTGTATTTTCAATTCCAAATGACCACAAGCTGAGCTGATTACTATAATGGACAACATTATTTCTTGCCATCTCATTTTTCATAACCGACGTGTTCCTTTATGCCTCAACTTCATTTTTCATACAATTGCTTTGTAAAGATGTCTGTGTAATAGCTGTTTTATTTTATAATTTTTTCTAACTTTGTCTCTAAATAGCAAAGCCACCCCAAGAACCCAAATGACAAGCATCGGAGCAAGAAATGTAAAGAACCTAAGCCTAGGGTAAAGAAGTTGAAGTATCATCAATATATCCCACCTGATCAGAAAGGTGAGAAGAACGAGCCACAGATGGACTCCAATTACGCTCGTTTACTACAGCAACAGCAGCTTTTTTTGCAGCTGCAGATCCTGAGCCAACAGCAACAACACTACAACTACCAGACAATTCTACCTGCACCGCTCAAGTATGTGAAACTTTGTCAGTTTTTTTTCTTTAAAGGGATCAATTTGCTTTTTTCTTAAATAAGGAAAAAATATACATCAAATGTAGAATTTGTATTTTAAGGTTAAATTATTCATGTTAGGCACCAACCCTGTATTAAGGGATGGTGACTCATCATGATTTGAGGTGGTTATATTTAAAGGTAGGTCAGTGCACATACCCGCTATACTACCTATTCCTCAGTCTCCAATTCTCTGCATCTCTTAGCAGCACACATAGTGATGAGACTATAGTTTTGATTTATTGAAAGGACAGTAAAGTCTGATAAACCTATAACTGGACCTACTGGCTTAATTTTGCTCTATGGACATTGCAAGCACAGCAGCCCCTTTATTTGTCTGCTATATTTTTCTAATCAAACATGTTATTTACATTCACAAGAATCGTGATCTCTTATGAATGCTTGTAACTTTCAACACCCTGCCTGTACACATGTTATGACACAAGCAGGCAGATCAGAGACAGAACACAACCTCTATGCACATTTTGCTATTGCTATCACAGTGTTTTTGTTGCTGTTTGGGGCATTTTGGAGGGGCTGAGAGACTTTTGGATAAGAAGGAATGTTGGGCTTTGTAAGCTGCGATAGAGAGGTTAAAATTTGGGCCTAAAATCCTGTCTAGGTACTTTTTACACTCCTCCCTTTCTCCCCTCACCATAGTATATGAGTGACTCACAAACATCATTAATCCCCAATATGCCCATGAGGGAGAGAATCTAATTTACAGCAATGTAGCATTCTGTTTCCAGCCTTTCTTAACAACTGATAGTAAATAACTAAAAACTATAATCTGAGAGTAACAAATGACATTTGTATAATTGCCATGTATCCTATCTTTGGAAGCAGTGATGTGCTGTGTGGTATCAGCTGCTCATTCTGTTACATGTAGAGACATCACAAAAATATTTTTATCTTGAATCAAATTGAACAAAGAAAGTGCAGGGAATTTTAATTAAAATCCATTTTAAACTGATATTAATACAACAAGCTTAGCCCTGTATGCTGTAATAGCAGTTTGTTCTTTGAGTGCTTGCACATGTTCATTCCAATGTAGGCGTGTGCACACCCTGAGCACAGTTGCCGGAATTTTTTCCCTTAGTGCTGGTATCTGTCGGCTTGGCTCTAGTGTCTCAGGTGCCGCACGCTCATAGCGCCGGTATAAGGGGCCTTGCCACTCCCTTTCAGTTCCTTCGTACCACCCATGATGGTTGCTGGAACTTCCCTCGTTGCTCAGGTCTGGACATGATCACACACGACCATGGCCAGCTGCTCCACCCAAACCTTAGCTCTCTTCATCTGATGGCCTGGAACCTTCATGGCTGAACCCCGAAGAGCAAGCTTGCTCAGAGCAGGTTCATAGAGTCCTACTGGGCAGTAGAAAACCCTCCACTAGGGTGATGTACCTGGAAAAGTGGAAATGATTCTCCATCTGGTCTGCCCAGCACAGAGTTCTGACTATGCAGTCCTCATTGCAGCTCATTCTGGAATACCTTCTGCTTTTAAAGAAGCCAGGCCTGGCCTTTTCTTCAGTCAAGGTCCACCTGGTGGCCATTTCAGTCTTTCGTCCTAAGGTTGACAGTAGGTCGGTTTTCTCACATGAAATGGTAATTCGTTTTCTCAAAGGCCTGGAGAGGGTATTCCCTCAGATAAAGGAACCAATTCCTCTCCTCCCCCTGGGACCTAATCCTTGTCCTGTTGAAACTAGAGACAGGCTCAGTGTTGGACCTCTCTTGGAAGGTGGCCTTTCTGGTGGCCATTACGTCATTCAGGAGAGTTTCAGAGATCCGCACCCTAACCTCAGAACCCTCATATATATCTAAGGCTACGATTTAATCATGGGTATTTTTAGTAAAAGTCATGGACAGGTCATGGGCAATAAACAAAAATTCACAGCCTGTGATCTGTCCATGACTTTTACTATAATTACCCCTGATTAAATCTTGGGGAGAGGGGTGCCAGCAGCACTAGCTGCCAGGGGCCACTGAGCAGCAGCTGCTCTGGCTGCCTGGGGGCTGCCGACAGCAGCTGCTCCAGCCACCCTGGGACCGCTGGCTGCAGGGCCACCCAAATGGTTGGCTGCGGAGCCATTCCAGCAGTGGCCAGTGCGGATGGCCACGGAGCCAGCTGCTTGGGCAGCCCTGGGGTCAGCCACACTGGCTGCCTCGGAAGTCACGGAGGTCACGGAAAGTCACAGAATCCATGACTTCTGCGACCTCCAGGGCCAACATGGAGCCCTACTCGTATACAATCTTCTTCAAAGATAAAGTGCAGCTACGCATGCATCCAAAGTTCCTCATGAAAGTGGTTTCTCAATTCCACTGCAACCAATTGATTTTTCTACCACTATTCTATCCTAAGCCATACGCAGATAGGGAAGAACAATGTCTGCTCTCTTTGGATGGCAGATGGCCCTGGCATTCTATATTCAGAAGACCAAACCGTTCTGTAGATCATCGCAGTTCTTCATAGCGATAGCTAAGAGCATGAAGGGGCTCCCCATCCCTGCTCAGAGGATTTCATCTTGGATCATGCCATGTATCCGGCCATGTTATGACCTCTGGGGGGTCTCCCCTCTGCCGAACCTGACTGCTCATTCCACTTGGTCTCAGGCCTCTTTGGCAGCTTTTCTAGCTCAAGTTTCTATTCGAGATATCTGCAGTGCTGCGACCTGGTCCTCGTGCACACGTTCTCAGCATGCTATGCCATCACTCAACAAGCCAGAGATGATGCCTACTTTGGCCACGCAGTGTTGCAGTCAGCTTGCCCTTAAGCTTCAAGCCCATCTCCTGTGCAACTGTTTGTGAATCACCTACATTGGAATGGATATGTGCAAGCACTCGAAGAAGAAAAAACAGTTACTAACCTTTTGTAACTGTTATTCTTCTAGATGTATTGCACTTCCATTCCAAGACCTGCCTGCTGTCCCCTCTCTTGGAGTGGTCCATGAGAAGAAACTGAAAGGGTGCAGGCTCAACAGGGCCCCTTATTCCCGCACTATGAGCGCACAGCAACAGGAGGTGTTAGAGCCGACTCAATGGGTACCACTAAAAAAAAAAATTCAGGCAACTGTGCTCAGGGCGTGCCACACCTACGTTGAAATGGACATGTGCAACACATCTAGAAGAATAACAGTTACAAAAGGTTAGTAACCGTTTTCTCTTCTTCGAGTGCTTGCACATGTCCAATGTAACTGTTTTTTCTTACCTAGTAAGTATTATTCTACATAACACAGAGAAACATTAAAAAAAATCTTGCTAACCCCACTTTAAAAGACCCTTGAGATATTAAGAGCTATACATTGTTGCTTAGAAATGCCAGTAAGGGCATAATTATATAAACCAGGAAAGAAAAGTGCAGCTGTTCAGAAAGATGAGGTGGAAGTCTGGAATTTCAGTGACTGCTAAACATATTAGGTTTTTTGACACAAAGATCCACTCACTGATCTGATCTTTTTTGAAAATAACAAAAATAAAGATTAACCTACCATAATCTTTTGGATATTTATTATAAAATACTTACTCTGCCTTGTCAGCAAGGTACAATTTGCATTTGAACAATAAGTCCAAATGTCTCTACCAAAATGTGCATTTTCCTGGTACGATATTATTTATCCAGTGAAGTTGTAATCACAAATACAAAGTCAGTAAAAGGCAGGCTCTGTGGCCATATGATGCAGTTTCATTATAGAAATTTAGGAATCCATGCTTGACCAATAAATCCAACCAATTAATTAACATGAATAAGTTTTGTTTTCTGAGAATGACTGGCCAGGTTTCTTGCAAAGCAAAACCAGTTTGGCAGATGAAAAAATTATGCCAAAACTTCCAATGCTATATATCTAAAGTTAGACACCTAACCCCATATTTAAGCACATAAATAAAACCTGTTTTCCCCAAAAAGAACTGAATGTGCAGTGTCCAATGAAGTCACAGGGAGATGTGCATATTCAATTCCTCTGAAAATCATGCCACTCTTACTTAGGTGTCTACATATGGACTTAAGTGCTTAATTTTAGGTATCTAGTTTGAAAATGTTTGTTTTAGCTTTTGTGATAGGAAAGAGATTGAAATGTTAGTGTGCAATTCACTTAGATAAATAGGGGTGCAAACTCTTCTTCTTGGCTCCCCTATTTGTTCACATATATCTCAAACAATTATCACACTCCAAAGGTTCTTTAATTAATTCTAAATATGTAAATCTGCATGTGAAAAAAGCTTTTATAATAATGTATGTCACTCTATTTACCTAGTTTACTGCACTAGTCAGCAGAAGCTTGGTTAATTTCAATATTTCTTCCTGTGTTTTTGATATCTGATTGTGGTGTTCTTGCGTTAATAGAAAAAATAGTACGATATTTGAAACAAAGACAACTTGGGTTGTATAAATCCTGTTGTCTTTTTAGAGGCAAGATTTCCTTAATATTTTAGTATTGTAATAAAAGTGATTAAACATAAACTTGTAATACTAACTGTACGCTACATAAAATACCAATATATTTTCCACAGCAAACTTTTCCTCTGCAAGCAATTCAAGAATCATCTAAAATATTTAATGAGTCCAGCTGTGTTAATTATGCATCTGAGGAAAAGTCAATTTTCTGCCATTAAGTGGATAAATTTTAAATTCAGTACTATCGCTTCTTAAAAGTAAATAACATAATAGCTAGCACTCATATTTTTATGCTTTTTTACTTGCAGACCTCTCAGTGACAAACAGAACAACAACGGGAATATACCACTGACTACTTTGAGCAACAGCACACCTACGTCAGTAGCCTGCACACCAAGACAGAACAGTAATATTCCCAGCAGAAAACCAGGACCGCTTCCTTCAAGCTTGGATGACCTGAAGGTAAACATGAAGAGGGATTTGTCTATGTGCAAATATCAGCAAAGGTTATAACTTGCAAATTGTTACTGACATTTTTATAGAAATGTTTTTGCCATTTTCATTTACTACCAACCTAGATTTTTTGCTTTTATTTAGTTTTTTCCTCCTCCAGTTTCTAAGAAGCTCTTTTCTTGTCCAGAGCATTTTATAAATTTTATCTAATCCTTACAACACTTCTCTACTTCAGATAAGAAAGGAACATAGAATTTGCTTACTTTATCTGTTCAGTATATGAAGGCTTGCCTGGGAGAATGAAAAAGAGGAAGCTGTTCAGTTGAGGTTCGGAACATTCTGCTTCGGAGCAGGGAAATCTTCAACTAGACTTAAAATACAAAGCAAAATGGAACAGGGTTTTCTGTTTGGCATCCCAGCACCAGTCGTCTCCTTTAACATTACCAATTTCAGTAATGCTGGACTATTTGCTATCTCTGAAACAATCTGGATTGTCCATCGGTTGTATAAATGTCCATAGAGCAGCAATACCTGCTCATCATTCCCCAATCCAGGACCAAACTTTTTTCCCCACCCTATAGTGGCTATATTCTTGAAATACCTCATGCATGTTTTTCCCCCAGTTCAGGAATTTCCTTTGTCTTGGGCCATCTATATAGTATTAGGGTTGATGAGTCCCCCCTTCGAGCCCTTAGTAATCTGATTCCTATACCAGCTGTCAATGAATACTGCCTTGCCTTTCTGGCTTGAAGAGTAGAGCAGATTCAGGCCCTCATGACAGATCCTCTATACAGAGTATTTCGTACAAATAGGGGCACTCTTAGATGTTCCAATCTATTCACCTCCTGGTTTTCTTTCTTAAATCTCACTCGATCCCAGGAAAGCTAGGTCTCATACACTTGATGTAGCAAAGGCACTATCTTTTTACTGAGAACAAAATGATTCAAGAATATGCCCAAACTATTTATGGCCTTTGCTGATTGAATTAAGGGGCAAACTATCCTCACAGAAGTTATCCAAATTGGTCCCCAGCTGTATAAGCCATGTTATGAACCAGCCAGAGTAGATCCATCAAGCCACATTAGAGCGCATTGCATTAGGGCTCAGGCAGCATCTGCTGCCTGTTTGAGGAATATTCCTGTATCTGAAATATGTTGAGCAGCTACACGGGGTTCGCTGTACACATTTACAAGATGCTATTCTTTAACACAGGCTTCCAGAAATTGGAGGCAGTTTTTCTAGGGTTCTCCTGCAGTATTTTTTAAGTAGGATTCCTAGTACCCACCTCCATGCAACCAAACAACTGCTTGTTAGTCACCAAGAGAGGAACCTATGAGCACAGTCACTCACAGAAAGAATGGTTACTTAGCTTACAGTAACTGTGGTTCTTTGAGTCGTGTTGTCCACACAGATTCCACACCCCATCGTATTTTCCTGCAAATATAGAGTTCTACTCCTATGGCATTGGTGAAGGAACTGAAGGACAGGTGGGTCTACTTTGCCCTGTATATTCTTGGTTGGGGGCACTTAGAGTGCAGGTGTGGCCCTAACAGACACTGTTAGCCAAAAGAACATGGTTTTTTTGCACGTGAGGTACATGTGCACCAAGAGTGGAATCATGTCAACAACACATCTCAAAGAACCACAGCTACTGTAGGGTAAGTAACCATTTATTTTTAAATCAAAATTTTGGTGGAAAGAATTACATAAAACACATACTGTAACTTACCCCTTCTGTCCATAGTTCACCCCCAGTGAGTATGTCAGTATACTTATTTGACTGGAAAATCCAGGCTCTCTCCACCAGAAGTTAGATAGCTAAATTACTTATGCTTTTCATTCTTGTGAAAGAAACCCAGGTGGCATATGGTAATAATTGGTCAATTTCTAACTAAAGGTGACTAATGCACTGAGTCATCCAATCCTCCTGATAAATTTCTGATACAATAGGTCCCATAATCTTGTCTCATGCTGGCATAGGAAAGTGACTCAACATGCCAAATTTTGTGTATTCAGTGCTTTAATGTGCATATTTGTCAGATACCGTAGATTTGTTTCAGAAGTTTTCAGTCCAAAATGAAGAGATGATGTACTTTCATATTTCCCAGATGAGTCTTGTTTGTGTTAAAGAAATATGCAGTGTGCTTACAGTGCTATCTGAAATGTTTGTCCATTGTATAGCAATGTAATAGTATTAAAATGATTTTTTGGCTTTCCACCAAAAGGAACTTGTTCATATAGATATGTTTTTTACATAAATGTTGCTATAAAGAATCTCTTTTGCCCACAAAAGACCAGTGCATAATGATTAGTGAATATGCTGAATATGCTTTTAGCAAAATGCAATGCAAATAAAACAACATGCTGGTTTTGTTTTGTTTTGAATACTAAGTCTTATTTTATCCTCAGGTAGCTGAACTGAAGATGGAATTGAAATTAAGGGGATTGCCAGTGTCTGGAACTAAAACAGATCTTATTGAGCGTCTAAAACCCTACCAAGATTTTAATAATAATAATGGTGTCAATACTAATAAAGTGGTTGCAATAACCACTTCTACTGGTGTCATCAGTAACACGGGGGAGGTAACTGTGGCATTCCCTGTTACAACATTAAATAAATCAGTGGGGAGCTTTCCTTCAGAAACGTCGTCTTCTGGAACTGGCTTCAAATTAGCACATACTGAAAGCATTAGCTCCCCTTTGCCCATTTCACCATCTCCTTCAGAACAATCAAGTCTGAGCACAGATGACACAAACATGACAGATACTTTCACAGAAATGATGAGCATGATGTCACCATCCCAGTTCTTAAGCACTTCACCTCTAAGAGTGACTGTGAATGAAGACAGTCTGAGTCATGGCAGTGGAAGCATTTCAAGCATGGAGCTTGATGCAGCAGAAAAGGACCGCAAGCTTCAAGAAAAAGAGAAGCAGATTGAAGAGCTCAAAAGGAAACTGGAACAAGAACAGAAACTTGTGGAAGTACTGAAAATGCAACTGGAGGTTGAAAAACGGGGTCAGCAGCAGCAGCAATCCCAGACTCCTGTTAACTCCATAACTACGCTGGATCAGAAACAATTAAATGCTGCTATCAAAGATGAAAATACTCTCACTGATTGCTCTAGTCCAAGGCAACCAGTATCTGTAACGAGCCATTCTTTAGGACAGCCAGTGTCTACTGGTGGCCAGAACCTAGTTGCTAAAAAGGCTGTTGTTATCAAACAGGAGATACCTTTGGCCAAAGCTGAACCACAGAATGTAATCTCTCAATTCTATGTGAGTTCACAGAGGCAGCCACAAACTGCAGTTGTTGCCCAGCCTCCAGCTTTACTAACTACCCACGGAACAACACAGTTGCTACTCCCACTGTCTATCCAAGGACCGAATTCAGCCACTTCAGTGCAGCTACCAGTGGGCAATATACAGCTACAGGTATGAAATGTTTTCTCTATCTTTAATCATTTAAATTACCCATTATGATTGTCAGCCATGCTGCTCATTTTTTATATACAGAGTAGAAAAGCGCTGTTTATATTCTTAATAATTGTAAAAATATTGACTTTTTTCATGATTGCATTAGACTTGAGTAGAAACTATCAAGAGCCAATCGTTTCAGTTAGCTTCTTTTCCCATACTCAGGCATTTCCTAGATGAGTCCTTTTTGCATTCTAGCAAAGATATTTTGAAAAATTTCCTTGACAATTATTCTTCCAAGGATTAAGCCTACTAGCCCAAGAGGCAAGTACCTGCAGTCCTCTATCCCTTTCCACATGCACTCCCTCCTGCCCCCAGTAAATCAACTCTGACTTTCCACCACCACACAAGTCATCAGTTCTTCCCTCATACATAAAATCAGTTCTGATGCTCATCCCTCAGATAAAATGAATTCTCACACCCACTTATCTTCCAATTAATCAGCTTTAGGCTCTCCCTAAATGAATTAATTCTGGCCTCAACAATCACATACCTCCCACGTGCTGGGATCTCCCCTGCCAGTGTAGCTTGGGAAGCCCTATCTCCTTGCTTGGAACCTCTGCTCTCTTCCTGGATATGCAAATAGCCCTTCTGCACATGGGCCACTCTGCTCCTTGCTCCCCTAACCTTCAGGTAAAGCAGCAGATCCAGCCCCTTTGCTCCAGCAACCCCACTCTCCACAATATAAATCAGTTAGGTGATTCTAGTGCAACTGATCTCCATGACATTCTGTACTACTGAAATGTGAATGGAAACTTTGGAGTCTCCTTGATCTCCTTTTATTCAGATTTTGTAGTAGTGACATCACTTAGTTTTAGTAGGCTACCAAGCTAAGATGAAAAAAACCTGATGACTTAAAAGTATCACCTATCATACCTGCATGCAGTGATGGTACACTTTGTTTAGGAAATAGAGACTGCCCAGATTGTGCTGGGGGAGAATTAGCTTTGGCATAGTAAAGTTCTTAATGTTTTGGGGTTGCTTTTTTGGAGGGAGTGAAGGGATTTACATTACCATACATTTGAGGTTCAAGGAACAGGTGTATAGAAAGGGGTTTCTCAGTTGTGTACAAATATTTTACTATATATTCATGTTCTATTGCTGTTTCATTTGCTGTCTGTCTCAACAAGAATGTGGTGGAGTTTTCCCAGACTGTACAGAAAGTATCCTATTCAGTTTTTCTGATCTATACTGGATCAGAACATATAACTCCAAATGCTGTTGTTTGCAAAATGCGTATTGGGACTTTTCTCCCAAGTCCAACTGTGTGTTTTCCCATCTACTTCTATTTTACTTTTACATACTCAAATATTGGGCTGTAAATGGAATCTGTGGAATCAGAAAGTGAAACAATATTCAAACAATGTGACTTCTTGACTGATTGTAAATTACCACAACTGAGGATTATTGATTATGCCATAACTATACTGTAAATAGCTAAAATGTTAAATGTCATTGTGTAAATTTCATTTGTCTTTAGGCTCAGTCACAAGCAGGAATTCAGGCTTCATCACAAGTATCTGCGCCTGTTTCATCTTCTGGTCTAGTTCAGACAGCACCACAGATTCATGGTCCACCATCAAAACAAAATACTGTCACCCAGTATGTGCTTAGTCAGGCCCAACAAATCAGAAAGGTTTGTGACTACTGATGAGATATAAATGTGAAATTATTGTATACTGTAATTTGAGGCATTTCTGTTACCATTTGCTACATGGGTAACCTATGAGCTCTGTTAGGAAATATTATCCTTTCTAAGGCGGACAACCTGGTTTACTGGATACTATACGGTGGGCCAGAAAGAATGATTCTGTAGCCCGGTGGTTAGGGTGCCCATCTGGAAAACCCAGGTTCCAGGCCCTGCTCCAATGAATATTTAAGTATTTTATACAAAGTGAAACAGCTTATATGGGGGAGATTGAGAGAGATCTATCCCAGAGTACCCTATACTCTGGTGGTTAGGGCACTCACCTTAGGGCCAGGAAACCCTGTTTCAAATCAGTGTGTGGGGATTTGTACCAAAGTCTCCCACATACCCAGTGAGTGCTCTAACCACTGGGCTGTAGAACATAGAAGGGATGAATTTCCTCATTTTTTTTTGGTGAGAAAGGCACCTAAGCCGGATCTGGCCTAACTCCAGGGGTGGATTCAGGGCTCTGACTGCAGAGTGGAGGGAAGTACCTCCCTGCAGTCCACAATTAGGTGCCCAATTCCCTTTAAGGGCCAAAACTTAGACCACACCCCTTTCCGACATTTTCTGTGCCTACTCTAGGCAGCTTCCTGCTCAGCATGCTGACTTGTGTGAATCCTGTTCTTTGGTACGTAACTTGGGTCTGTAGATTCCACTACACCCCAGGATGCCTATATTTTAGGGATTGCACTGCTGAGTCTTAAGTCACCTTTCTGGACCTAGCTGTTAACTGCTCTGTGCACCATATTTTCCCTATGTGAAAAAATGGGGCTGATGGACCTTAAACTTTAATAAGGTAGGTATCATGAAAGAAAACTACTATATTAGTACTAGCTGTTGTATTTCTTTGTTATTAAGCATGTGTTATTGTATTGATGGGAAAAAATGTTGTTCCCATTTTTCCATTTATTTCTTTAGATTGTGCTCAAATACCAGCTAACCTACTCAAATAAGGACTTTTTATCTTAAAGGGGTAGACGTTACTGTCTTTATGTAGTTTTGATAATCCAGATTTACAAAAGGGCATGTATTTTAGATATGCACTAGGAGTTTATATCCTCTTTTTCTAAGAACTAGTTTGAAATTAAATCAGGCCAGAAATTAGTACAATTGTGCTTTATTGGTTGGCCACTAGGTGGAGATGTTATTTTAAATTGTTTCATGCCTCAAACGTGCCAGAAACCATGTTCCTCTCAGTACAACACTGATAGGTCATGTGCTTCCTGGAAGATCAGAGAGGAAAGCAGTTTAGATTTTTTTTAAGTATAATCATCAGCAAAAGCTATTTGCCAGACTCTACAGACAGACTGAAGCAGTATTATAAATTTCAGGTGAGTGAAGGCTCAACATTGCACAGTGATAGTCTCTCTCCAGGAACAGCAATGGTGACAGTTGCTCCAGACCCTTCTGCCTGAGCCACTGAAAAATACAGACAATTGTTGTAGTTATAGAAAAAACACTTTCCCAGGTAGAAGTTAAGCAAACAAATACATAAGTAAGAAAGCATAATTGCTTTTACTTTCCCTAATGATTTTAATGTCATTTAACCATCATTGTGAATATAAAAATGTTAGCTTTTGATAAAATATTAATCTTTTACAGGTTTTCCCATCTAATACATCAAATACAGTATTTCCCTATCAAAATCCACCTGTTACAACACTACAGCAGCCTTTTATCAATAAGGCATTAAACACTAGCCTTGATGCTGGGAAGAACCAGGTTCCCTCAGTGCAAAATGGACCCAGTAAGGTAAGATTTGCTCACTTCTCCACAAGACTGTTGCTACATTTTTTATTAAGAAAATGTAAGCATGAGGAATTAGTGTTGGGTGTATATGAATATTTTACATACAGAATACATACAATGTCTAATCTAGCTGTAAAAAATAACTGATAGTGTGTGATTACTTTTAACTAGATAGTTATCTGACTGGAGAACTAGGGTAAATCCAATATTTATATAGCTGATCCCCTTAAGAATAGTTTACTTTACCAATATGGTACACTTGTTTGTTCATTATGTTGTTGTTTCACACAGCCTGACTCACCACCTGAGTCCCAGCCATATATCATACAACACTCTCTATTCAGCAATCCAGTAACCAAGACAAAAGACCCTCCACGTTATGAAGAGGCCATAAAACAGACCCGCAACATGCAGGCATGTCAGCGAGAGGTAGGTTAAATAAGAGAAAATAACTATCAGATAATTTTTTCCCTTTTTACATAGAATTATTAGAATCAGTGTCAATGTGTTGGTCCGAGTGCTAGGATTTTCCTGCATGCACTCCATTGCTTAGACCAGGGGTCTCAAACTCAATTTTCCTTAGGGCCAGTGCCAGTCCTCAAATCCTCTCAGCAGGCCAATAATGTCACTGAAGATGGTGTTCAGAAAAGAAAATGTTTATATTGTATTTTTTATTTTGAATTTCTTAGCAATAATAAAACTGTCATACAACTTTATACAGTTCTTCGCCTGCCAGAGAGTTTTTAGTGTTTGCCAGACACCTGGCAACGCTTCAGTTCTGTCAGTTTGTTGATGTTTGGCCTCAGTGACTGAGCAGTTGAAGGTGTGCATCAGATAATTGTGTTCAGTATTTTGACTTGTTTATAGTCATTGTGGAAAAAAGTGATGCTGCCTCCATGGCTGACTCTGCCCAGCGACTAGTGATGGTATCTCTGTCCCAGCCAATGGGAGCTGCGGGGGGGAGGGAGGAGCATCTGCAGCAGACATTGCCGGCAGCGTGTCTGCCTGCGTCTCTTCTCTGTGGGCTGCAGTGGGCAGGTTCTCTGGCTGCAGATAGCCCGCAGGCCGGGACTTTGAGACCCCTGGCTTAGACCTACCCTATTGACATTTGGATATATATAGTGATCATTTACTCCAAGAGCTCTGGTTTTTCATGATTCTGTTAACTGAATTTATCCTTTAGATAAAATTATTTCAGATCTACAAAATATTGGTTGTTTGACTGTTTATTAGCTGTATGGAAATTATTAATATTGTGATATTATCAAATCTGACACCTTGTTACCAATCTAGTAATAGTTACCCTTCAAATGACATTGCATGTCTTCAGCTCTTTAAAGAGTTTGTCTGACCCATAATACCTTGAAAATGGTTAAGCTGTATTTGATAAGTGTACGATTTATTATTGTTTGTATTTGTGTAAAATTTTTCAACAACATTTAAAAGGTACATTAGCAGGACCACTCAAAAAGACCCCCTAATTTTAATGAGTGTTGTCAGTACTATTATGAGGCATATTGGAGGGTGAGCCTTAAAGTGTCACCATGACATCATTCATGTTGGCAATGAGGAGACTTCAAGACAGTTGCAAGGCAAGATGTTCATTTGCTTTATTTGTATTTCGTTGTAATAATTTCTTTAGAACGTTATTTTAAAAAAATGTATAACCAGTAGCCCACCCACTAGTCTTGGCTGGTGCTTACATGGTAGAAGAAGCCACTGTTTAAAAAGCTATTAAATACATCAACATTACTTACATTATTTTTTAAAAAATATTTCTCCTTGCCTTTCAGCATTTTCCTGATTTGCTTTATGCTAATCCCCTCAGTGACAAAACTATAACACATATGACAACCCCCATCTAATATCATTCAAAGTATTATTTAAAAGCATGGCATTACTCCATCTTTTATTGGTGAGGCTAAAGTCATTTAAAAAAAATCTAGAGCCATAAGCCAAGCTAATGTTAATAGTGTTATTGAGGGAAGCTGGCATCAGTCACATCTTATATTAGGGTCTGCATGACAAGAAATTCTCTTTCTTACAGATTTCAAATGCACACAGTCAGCAGATGGATGATCTCTTTGATATCCTCATTAAGAGTGGAGGTAAGTCAGATTATCACTATGTGTAATGTATAGACAAAACTATTAAAAAAACTGACAGAAATTAGAACAAGAAATTAAGATGCGACGGGAAGAAAGGAGTAAGGAAGAAAACGGGGCCACTACAGCAGAGGGGTCTCCTCTGCTGGAACAAGTGGCTATTTAGGTACCAACCATGGCATTTATTATTCCTCTTCAATTCTCTAAGAACACTGTACCTAAATGCAAATTATTTCAAAGGCCAAAGTTCTACTACCACTGAGGAAAATAATCATTCACCCCTATGCCCCAAGCTGACTGCTACTGTAGAAGGCTGTCAGTTGTTATACATCAGCTTTAGACCATGACAAAAATATCTTAGTAGAGAGTATACAAGTAGTTCTACATTTTAACTAGACAACTATTTATCAAGGTTTCAGCTCTCATTTTGAGGCAAGTAAAACATTCATTTCAGGGGTATGTGGGAAGTAAACTACTTATGGTTCTGATCCAGTTCAGACGAAAGGTGTAATTAAAATCTGCTTTCTGTAGATTTATATAGATTAAATTTTGAAAAAAGTGATTTGTATTTAAAACAAGAATTAAAATATTTTAATCAGATTACAGTATCTAAACTGAATCAGGGTATGACTCTCTGTTATTTCAATAAAGCTCTTCAATGTCCAGCTGTTCATAAAGCAGCCCCAACAGGGAAAGATGAACAATTGATGTCTTACCAAGGTATTCTAGGGTACTCATCACTATGGTGTCTTGAGTTTACCAGCAGGTTCCAGCTAGTAATAAATATTGAAGGACGATGCTATATCCAGAGTCTTACAAACACATACTTATGTAAATTTAGTATATTCCTCATCTGCCATTCTAGAAAATGTTTCCTCCCCATTTCTCTAGAACAGTGTTTCTCAATGACTGGTCCATGGACTGGCGCCAATCCCTGGTATCAAAAAGGTTGTGAAACACTGCTCTAGAATACTGGCCATTCTGCTCATGCTGCACAGTCTTTTTCTGGGCTCTTTCACATACCTCTCATGACTCCATGCAGCCCTAATCTTAGAATGTGAGCAAGCCTGGAGAACCACTTCAGTCACTCTCTGGGTAATTTATTTAAGTGGTAAAAGCTCTTAGTCGCTTCCTCTTTCTAACAGGGTTCAATAATAATCTGCAGGGTCAGTTTCCTTGATGTGGTTCTAGTTCTGCTGCTATAGCTCTTGTGTATTACTGACTATCACATCAAGCCAATTATGGTTGCAGAGTTTTTGCATCTGCCACCTGAGAAAAACCTGCACTCTAATTCTCACCATTCATTATGTCTGCTAACAGTAGTATAGCATAGTGTTTGGTAGAATGGAAGAAAAGGAGACACACAAAGGAAAACTTCCAAGATAATCTGGAAAAGACAATATATACAGAATAAAGCGTGTTTCCATTGACATTTTCTATTGTAATGTACAAAATTAACACGTTAAAACCTAACCATCAAAGAAACTATTGGGGGAAATAGGCATAAAATGTGCACGCACACATATATTAGTTAATGGCTAACCTCCTGTCCCATTTAATCAAGTAAATTAAAATGTGACATAATTAATCTTCCAGTCAGCATTTAAACTAAGATTAAAGATCAGAAAGCAACTCTGAACAAAAGAATTTTGCAAACTAGCATTGGCATAAAAACATACATAAAATTCATTGTATGCAGATAAATGGTTAATATACTGAGAAGAAAATCTTCTGATAGCAAGCAATCAAATTAGTGTAATGTTGAGTGTTGCTTCCATAAGGAATTGATGAGTGCCAAGATAAAAAAAACTGATTGTTCGTTAGTAGCTGGAATTTCAACCATATCCTAAAAATCTACAGTATTTCTGCTAGTCAAAATTAACTGAAGAGTTTTAAGAATAAATAAGAATTGAATTACACAATGCAGGGATTGTATAATCTGAAAGCAAAATAGCTGCCTTTATAGACTAACCACAATATAAGACCTTTGTAATGACCAACTGAGACTATTACACAAAAATTCAAACATCTTAATACAGAACAATCAAGCTTTGTTTAATGTGCACACATAGTTCTAATGCTCCCCAAAAATCTTCATGCTAATGGTTCTATGCTTCTCACTTCCAAATGATAATGTAAAGTTATAGGAAATGGTAAAGAACACATTATTATGCTTACTCAGATATATACAAACATCTGTAGCAGAGGGTGAAGAAATTATGGTTTGATCAGTAAGAGTCATTTGCCAATTCCTGTAAGTTTTGCAAAAAAATTAAGCAAAAATACTGTGGCAGATATTTTCCATCTTCTTATTAAAAAGGAAAGACCCCCATTCCTGGGCTATTGCCCTAACCTACATGAGCTTTGCACTAAAAACCTTTGCCAGCATAATGTTGGCTAAGGATGTGTTTTAAACATTTTTTTATACCAACAGAAGCCCTCTTGCAGATGCAGTTATGCTGGCAAAAAAAGTGCTTTTGCTGACATGGATAAGGCCCTACTTGAATTGCGGTTGAGTTGCAGACAAGCAATAACAGACCTTATTATTATGGGCGTCCGGGGCTCCTATTGTCAGCCTTGCACACGGCAGGGCACCTGCTGTCAAAATTGCAGTGGAAGCCAAATATTGCGGAATCCGCAATATCACAAATTAAGCTGGGCCTTAGATATAGCTTATTTTGTTTGGGAAACCAGTATGAGCTATACCAGCAAAAGCACATTTTTGCCATTAGAAGCTGTCTCTCTACTAGGAAGGTTTACTAGAACAGCTATACCAGCAAACCTTTTTAGTGAAGACTAGACTCGAGAAAACTGTGTGGATTGGTAGACAAAAAAGTTTTTCATTGTCTTCACTTAAAGTTTTATGTACAAAAACTGTTTGTGAACTCTGTTCAGTTAATAAATGTACAACAGAGGCATGATCTGCAACTATCCATTGACTTTACTGGGGCTATTTGATTAAGAGCAGCAGGGTTGACGTTTAGAAAGAGCTAATAAACAAGGCATAAGAAAATATAGGCATACTTAACTTGTAAGGTTAAGTAAATTGTTCCATTAGCCTCCTCAAGGACTTGTGCAGTTACTGCTTAAGTAGAAATGTCCTTTTAATAAGAACAACACTAGGTGAGCTCTTGTTCTAAGGTAATATTTGGTACTAAGTTAGTGAAAAAGCTGTATAACTGTGGTAAAATACACTTGGACATAGCACTAGTATTTCAGATCTTCAATTTAGAAAGACCATGGACATCATGTCAGTTCTCCTCAGATGGATATAATATTTCTGACTTGCTGAAATATTACTGAAAAGATGTGGAGATCACTTTAAAAGAGATTGTGTCTCATTATTAGAATTATTTGCAGTGTTGTTATAACCATGTTGGTCCCAGGATATTAGACAGATGTAGTGGATTAGGCAGTATCTTTTATTGGACCAACTCCTGAAGAAGTGTTCTGTAAGCTCAAAAGCTTGTCTTTTTCATCAACAGAAGTTGATCCAATAAGAGATATTATCTCACCCACCTTGTCTCATTATTAAAATGATAAACAACTTCACATGCTTAGTTTATATTTACAGTTTGTACCTCAAGAAAGTATTTAGTAGTTGAATATTTGAAGATGCCTAATCTTTGTATGCCCTTTATTTTCATGGATTTATTTTAACTTTCTTTTATACAGAGATTTCCCTCCCTATAAAAGAGGAACCATCTCCCATTTCCAAAATGAGACCAGTTACAGCCAATATCACCACAATGCCAGTGAACACAGTGGTATCTCGCCCACCACCACAAGTCCAAATGGCACCTCCTATGTCTTTAGAACCAACAAACAGTTTGTCTCTAAGTTTGGAGAACCAACTTGAAGCTCTCTTGGATGGAACTTTACCTTCAGGTAATGAAATTCCTCAACTAACAAGCAGTCGCGAGGACAGAGAATCATTTTCTCTGATTGAAGATCTTCAGAATGATCTGCTTAATCACTCCAGCATGCTTGATCATGCTCATTCACCCATGGAAACAGCTGACCAACAATTCACTGCTAATAGTTCCTGTTTATCTCTTGACCTTCCTGACACAAATTTAGACAATATGGAGTGGTTAGACATTACCATGCCCAATTCCTCATCGGGGCTTACTCCTCTGAGCTCTACTGCCCCAAGTATGTTTTCCACTGACTTTCTAGATCCACAAGACCTACAGCTGCACTGGGATTAAGCTATAGAGGTGCAGCAGATGAAAATTTGACTTTATCTGTTTACAGTATATGTCCTTTATGACACAATTCTGGTTGCAATTAAGGTAAATTATCACAGAATGATTGGGAAGGAGAAATGCTTGATGCTAATTCTGCATTTATGTTGAAGTATACAAGTAAGTTTCTTTACCCTTCTATCAATAATGCAGATCAGAGCCATCTGGGAATTATACTTCACAGGTCAAGAGAGAATGATTGTAGTTATTGATGAAAAGTACCACCCAGAAGAAAGCAGGAAAAAAAAGTGTATATAGGAAATAGCATTGAGATATCTTCATAATGCTCAAACGAACTGCAAAACGTGTGGTCATTTGATTAGACTTTAAACAGAAGAAAAATAGTGCAATCAGATTTCAACCTACTGTACCAATAAAGAGTAAACATTGTTTGAGGGAAGGTAAGATATCACTGCACTTGATTGTTCCTGTGGACAGCCTGAGCCAAGATCAAGAGGCATTGTAAGGGCAAAGGCAACTAAAAGCACTGGCTGGTTCAGTGAAATTTCACTTGTCTAGAGTCTTTAAATTTGTTCAAGTTGTATTTGTATTTTATTTTATTTTCTGTGACTTTTAGAAAACTCCTCTTACTCTATTTCAATTTTAAATCCTGAGGGAAGAACTTAACTGCAGCCAAAGGGATATTTTAAATGTAATTGCACACAATCCACTGTAGCAAGGCCAGGTATATTGAGAACACTGAATTTTCTATAGCAACACTTTGGATTTATTAGATATGTGTATATCAGACAGTTATTTGTATACTTTTTACCTTTGTGACTTGTACAGCTTATTTTTGTGGAGGCAGAGTAGCAGTGGTCACCAAACCAATAGACTATAGTATTCTAAGAATATTTAATATCCAAGTTTACTTCCATTGTTTCAGAGACTATTTGCTAGAGACATTCATCTAGCCAAATATCTCAAAGAATCATTTCAGGATATTAAAATGTTTACAGGACAATACAAGAGGAGTTCCATATAATTGTTGTAGGCCCTGATCTTGCAAACATTTATGGACATGAGTATGACATGCTGACCTCAATTAAAATTTTTGCAGGATCAAGGTCAGAATTCATAGGATGTACTGACAAGATAGGCAACTTTCATCTCTTAAGATAGCGACATACCAACTCCCTAACCCCTGAACATCTTAGGTAAAAGTTGTTCAAGAGCAATGAAAAAGTAGAAAAGCTTCAAGATGTAAAATTCAACACTATTAAGGATTAATCCTTCAAAAAATAGAGTAGATGATTGTAGCAAAAAACAGTACTTAGTTGTGGGCATGCTGGATTGGTGGTGATGGGCATGCAGTAACAAATGACAACCCCCTAATTTGCTCCTTGTAGAATTTCTAACTTTTTAGAAACTAACATGAAAATACTTTGAAAAACAAACCAGAATGCAAATAGGAATGAAATATTCTAGAACTCTATTTTATTTCTCATACAATAACTTTAACAGTATTGCTGTAACTAATACATACATATTCCCACAAAATTAAGATTAGAAATAAAGTAATTTCTGGATTGAAAATGGGTCTCAGATCAGAATCAGGTTTCAGAGTAGCAGCCGTGTTAGTCTGTATCCGCAAAAAGAACAGGAGTACTTGTGACACCTTAGAGACTAACAAATTTATTTGTGCATAAGCTTTCGTGGGCTACAGCCCACTTCATCGGATGCATAGAATGGAACATATAGTAAGGAGATATATATATACACATACAGAGAACATGAAAAGGTGGGAGTTGCCCTACCGACTCTAAAGAGGCTAATTAATTAAGATGAGCAATTATCAGCAGGAGAAAAAAAACAACTTTTGTAGTGATAATCAAGATGGCCCATTTCAGACAGTTTGACAAGAAAGTGTGAGGATACTTAACAATTGTTTTTTCAGTTTCAAAAATAACATTTAGCAAGTGATTAGTGCACAATGTGGTATGAAAGCTTATGCCATTTTGCAGAGGAAAACTGATATCAAAGAAATCCTGGAAACAAACTAAAAGTGGCTGCTGTTAACTGTACAGTAACCATTTTAATAAGCATACCAAAATGAACTTCTAGATTATAATAGTCCAGATTCTTATAACTTCCTAAATTACCAATCATGAAGTGTAAGCCATTAGTTCTGCTTGGGCAGAGTTCAGTTGACTAAGTATAAACACAGAAATTCAGACTAATGGATTACTTTGCAGACTTGGGGACTAAATTAGCCTCTGTACTTTTTGGGATAGATCAGATCAACATTTTAAAACTAATTACATATCTTTATATGAAAATATTTGCCAACACTTCATAAAAGGCCACACTTATGAAGATGCCAATTCATACATGTAGTTTGGTTTTAAACATAAACATTCTAAGAAAATGTCTGTGATATTAACAAAAAGCAAAGAAATTCAAAGTTAAGGGATAGGATGCTATCCTTATTCCTCACTGTTGTGCCTAGATACTGCCAGGAGTAGTTGTGCATACAATACTTGGGTACAATGTTACATATGGACTGTCTGCCTTAAGTTTTAATTGTCTTGGCTTTGGTATTATATACACTGTTACTTATGTGTAGTATTTTGCTTTTAATATTGATGACTAGAGTAGGGTTCTTCAGACAATAAATACCCTGACCTTTACCCATTCCACTTGGCGACACTCTCTTGGGGGCTGATCCTATGAGGTGCTAAGTGCCTCCTCTGAGCTCCTGATTGTTCTCAGATTTTACTGAAATGAAGAGAGTTAAAGGCACTCAGCACCTTGGAGGAATAGGTGCTTGGTCTGGTAGCTAGACCTGTGTATGAAATTTATATTGTTCTATGCTACTATGTTAGTATATTATGTATGATATTGTACGAAAAATGTGCAGTGTGAAATGTGACAACAGACCAAAGATGGTAGTAACAAAATGGCCCCTTTTGTCTTTGCCTTCTGTTTAAATGATGAAGGTGATTTTAACTAAAATCAGTTTTCTAGTTGAGGAAAACAAAATTTTTTTTTTGGATGTGCATGTAAATATAGCTTCATACTGGCAATATTGTATAGTATATTGCTATACAAATACCCTTATTGGCAATGTAGAATGTTAACAAACCCATAGGAATCTGTGTGCAGAAAAAAAATCCCATATATCTAAAATGTGCTGATACCAGTACAGAATTGCTTTCTACTTATATTGTCTCAATTCACGTAAAGCTAAGGGATTATTATACTGTCCTTGAAATAGAAATGTGATTTTGTATAATTCAGAATTACTTGTATTGTAAAACCTTACACACACACATAGATATATGTATGTTTGCTTTAGAGTGTATATTGTGAAATGTGCTACAATATTTGCCATATTCATACATACATGGCATTGTGGAAAAAAATTTTTGTGCATGTTTTAAATGATCATTTTTGTAATATAAAAAAGACAAATCTTTAACAATGACTGTACAGACTTGTGACTGCTACCACTACAGTGGTATTTCTCATTGTGAGAACAGTTGCACTTGCAAAAGAATGCACTGATACCAAATTCACCAAGCTAGCGAAAGTAAACTAACAAAACATGGTTCCTGTGAACTGCGCTGTTAGTGGACGGTAACGTTACAATTAAGGATACCATTTTTATCACTAAATTTACCACAGAAACAGTGTTTCTTCTGCACTTCTAGTGCCCTTCAATACTTAGTGAGGCATATAAGTTTACAAGATACGCTTACATGCCATTTTTCTTGAACACTAAACAGTTAATTATCTCTGTCATAAATGTAAAAGGCTTTTGAAGGGCAGAATTTATGGCAATTGTTCTCTGCGCAACTTTAGGACCCAATTCTGAAACCTGAACTTGCAACAGTGAGGGTTTTCAGAATCAGGTTTTTAAAGAGCTAAGTGCCACAGAATTTAGGAAGAACTTCCTACTCCTATGCTGAAATCTTTTTTTAAACAGTTATTAAAATATAGTTAGTTCACCGAGGTAACCTTAAGGTAGGTAAGCAGGTATATAAAATAAGCAACATATGGATGTTTTCTATTGGTATTTGCCTATCTGCCAATATACAAAACACATTTGTATGGCTGAAAATTGTAACAGATAGGCAACATAATTGATAACCCAGCACAAGCTGTCCAACTGCTCTAGAGGTCATAAAAGATGACCCACTGTAATCACAGAATACTTTAACTGGAAGGGCCTTGTAAAGCTGACTAATGCACAATCATTTATTTGGATTGCATCCTAATTTTTTTTTTTTAAACTGGAAAATAAATATTAGAACATAGTGCCACAGAATTCTGAATAAAGAACCCTTAAATGTTGAAACACTTTACTGTTGTAGAACTGTTAAATTTTTAAATCTGTTTTCCTATCACCTTTCTTGTCAATCAAATAAACATAGCTGTAAAGAGACTAAGTGGAACGTGAAAAAAATGTTCATAGGAGATACACTGCAACTAGAGAACATGCATAAGAGGATCATTATCTGAGCTCTCAAATCTAATTAACCTGTATATTTAAGCAACTGTCCCCTTTTACATCAACTTATTAAATGTAAAAGGAAATTGGAAGCAAGCACTGAAGTTCATGCTTCAATGCAGTTCCACATTAGAAAAGGAAAGACATCGAATGCAAGGAATTTTCTTATTCAGTGTGTAAACGTAGCTTTAGAAATCTAGCAATCATCATGGTAACTGTTTGAGGGCTACGTTTCAGCAAACAATAGTAACAAGTACACCTTTGTACTACAGTATAACAACTGTTATTTTTTTGGTAAGAATACTGCTTAGATAATCAAAAGGAGATACACAGCCTCAAATAAAATAATAGGAACCAAAGCATTGTCATTTATATGGCCAAAGGAGGCATTTTGTATTTTAAAGGAAAAAAGTCAGTCCCAAAAAGTATTATCCACTTACTTAGTTATACTTTTTAAAAATTAAGGATGTAGATATTTCTGAAGTTGTTTTTGATGTTAACAGCACACATTTGTTGTTTTGTTTGAGAAATTGTATTAAGTAATATCTGGTTTCTTTCTTCATTGTTGCTTGCAGTAGAAATAATGCTTAGCATGATAGGTGTTTCTCTTCTTATTTTCATAGTCACAATTATGTCTTAGCATCTCACTTTATGAAAAAAGAAGAAAGATACTAATCTGTAGAGCTCTCTTCGTTTAAGCACTAGTTTATTAAATAAAAATTATGGCAATCAGGATGTCCATTTATGTATTGCCTTTCTATAAGAAACCATGATGCCTTTGTATTTGCTGTTTGCACCCCTGAGATAAATTCCATATCTTTGAATGCCATATGTTTTGCACATTGTACTGTATATATGTAATGCATACTGTATTTTTATATGTGTAGTACATTTAACAAATATTTTGTACATAGTGGCAACATTGTAGCTACTGAGGAAATGTTTGACATCAGCATTTTTGCTATGTGTCTCAAATAAAAAAAGATAAACTGTGTACATTTGTTGTTCATGCCTGACAAATACTATCATTTCAGATAGTAATCAGCAAAAGCAACCAAAAACATGCCATCAGAAATATTCTTAACTCCTGACCCCCTGCTACGGTAACACCTGGGTAACCACAGCCCCAAAAAGGAATGAGAATAAAAATATCTAGGTACAAATTCCCTACAAATGTTTTTTAAAACTTAACAGCATAACAAACTGAAGCTTTAAAATTTAACTTCCTAGGGAAAAAACCACAACAGAGATATTTGTAAAGGAGTGAATACCAGACCAGCTGCATGTTCCATTCTAGAAATTTAGCAGAAGATCCATACTGTACATAGTACATTTTATATCTAGAACTATAGAAAATTATCTTCCCAGCACCCAGACACCATGATTTTAGGCAAGAAAATGAAAATCAACTAGAACTTTCCTTTGAAGACCAGAAAAAATTTAGATGCCAAATACCACAGAATCATAGAATCTCAGGGTTGGAAGGGACCTCAGGAGATCATCTAGTCCAACCCCCTGCTCAAAGCAGGACCAATTCCCAAATCATCCCAGACAGGGCTTTGTCAAGCCTGACCTTAAAAACCTCTAAGGAAGAAGATTCCACCACCTCCCTAGGTAACCCATTCCAGTGCTTCACCACCCTCCTAATGAAAAAGTTTTTCCTAATATCCAACCTAAACCTCCCGCACTGCAACTTGAGACCATTACTCCTTGTTCTGTCATCTGGGACCACTGAGAACAGTCTAGATCCATCCTCTTTGGAATCCCCTTTCAGGTAGTTGAAAGCAGCTATCAAATCCCCCCTCATTCTTCTCTTCTGCAGACTAAACAATCCCAGTTCCCTCAGCCTCTCCTGATAAGTCATATGTTCCAGCCCCCTAATCATTTTTGTTGCCCTCCGCTGGACTCTACAATTTTTCCACATCCTTCTTGTAGTGTGGGGCCCAAAACTGGACACAGTACTCCAGATGAGGCCTCACCAATGTCGAATAGAGGGAAATGATCACGTCCCTCGATCTGCTGGCAATGCCCCTACTTATACAGCCCAAAATGCCGTTAGCCTTCTTGGCAACAAGGGGGCACACTATTGACTCATATCCAGCTTCTTGTCCACTGTAACCCCTAGGTCCTTTTCTGCAGAACTGCTTCCTAGCCATTCGGTCCC